AGGGGATCGCGGCGGGGCCGTCAGCAGCCGCGTGGGCCGGCCACATGGCCGGGACTGGCTTTTGTAGAACGAACAATTCGACCACAGCTCTAAAAGCTGGGAGCAAATTGCAAGCTTTTGGGTCTCTCCTAAAAATCTCAATAAAAAGCTTATCACCTACTGAGTCCCAGAATTCTCTGGTAAGGGCGGCTGAATGTTCAGCATGAGGGAAGTGGGGCAGGACCCATTCCAAGAGGGATTTTAACTCTTTCTCAGGCAAAGTACTGTTATGACTACGTAAAAGATGGTTCAATTGTTTATAGAGATCTATCTAGGGTAGAGTGGGATTGTCCCATATTTTAGACCTGTGTAGCTCACCTCGAGTTCGCAAAAGCAGAGATCCTTTCCTCAGGACTCTGCACAGGTCCCCTCAGAGCTCCGGGCGTCTCTCCGGACGGCTTTTCTGTGCTCGGGACCTTCAGACCTCCCCCCTTGGGGCTTCCAGCGCAGGCAGTTCTAGGCAGTGCTCAGTGCGCTCTCAACGTGGCCACGTGCCACCAGCTCACAGCTCAGGTTTGCTGCAGCTCCGCAGCGGTTCCTTGCTCGGGCAGTCCCAAGAGCTCCAAAAGCTCGCTACTCACGGGCTATGGTGCTCAAGGGTAAATTGCCTCGGCAAACTTTAAAGAGATAAGGCTTCTACGTTGCTTAGCAATGACAGCCTGTGCTCAGAGCGAAGAGGAGGCTATCACAGGTAATTATCGTGCATGGAGGTGTCGAGATGCTTGGATTCCTTTTCCTTCCAGGTTGGGCGCCAGTTGTGGGAATATTATTCTCCTGCACGGTGGGGGTGTAGGGAGGCAGAGATCTCTGAAGCTTGCTCTTGGGGAGAGAGATTTATTGGAGGATTCAGGAATGCCCGAGGCTCGTGCTCTCAGGTGTAGCACGTGGCCGGGCTTAGGAGGACGGGGAAGGGGAGAGAGAAACAGAGGGTTTAGGAGAGGGGAAGCCCCAGGCGGGGAGGAAGTACAAGAGAGGAGGAGAGGGCCAAGAGACTGCATGGCTTCTCGGACCCCCATATCAGGGGCTCCTAGGTGGGCTGGGACAAGGCATGGG